AGCTCTGAACAAAACCCTAGAGTCACCTCTGCTGCCACCACCAGACCAGTAATACAAGAGCAATGATCGAGGTCTGGATCGATCACGCTAATTAATCAACCTAGGGGCTTGATCCCCACTATAAACGATGACCTTGAGTGTGGAATAAATTACACGGTAATGATAATTCCGATTCGATGTTAGAATCGGCGCCCAATGCAACTCTGCCTCGTGTGGACCACGTGACCAGGACAAGTATACACATAAAACACATGGAAACAATAAAATGCAAATTAATAACAAATTTAATTTATTAAAAGAAAACTAAAACAAAATCTAAATATGTTCACTCCCTATCACTTTAACACTCCCTACTTGACCTGAGTGGCAAATGAGACTATTTCTATACTTAACAATAGCAACTATACCTTGGGCGACCAGCTAGGTGTTGGGCTGGTCTTGGGGAGAGGTAAGATGTTTGACCTCTCCCAGCTGCTTCCGTGACCACACTGATTTCTTCCTTGTCTGGTCTACCCCAGACAGAACATTGTATCCTTCCGCCTAGTCAAAGTTCTACCCAGTTACTAGCAAGGTTTAAGTTATAACAATTAACCTCTGTTGTACTTAATTGATCCAGACTGGTTGAATTATTTTACTGAATTAAATTACAAACATCTAACGGCAGAGCTGTTCCCGATCACAAAAATGGTTATTAAAACTTTGAGAAATATTAGACATGTCAACCCTGCTGACCTATGACCGCCGGTCACTCCGCCTTAAAAGTTAGATCTGATTCGTGACGTCACTGATGGTGACTTAAACTCAATAATTAGAATACTCTTGATATTGTATCCAGTACTATTATACAATACAATTTTAATGCAAAATGAATAAAGGCTAATTTTCTCTAAATTACTGAATACTATAGGATGATTCATTATACGCAGCTATGAACAAAGCGTTGGTTATTTCCACCGCGAATTCCCCTGGGGGTCAGGTCACCATGCGGCTCAGCTTCCCATTCTCTTTTGTCGATAAACCACTCTGGATAATTCTTACAACAGCCTAGTTTGTTACAGAAGACACTCACAAGACAAGACACCACAAGACACCCACAAGACAAGACACCCACAAGACAAGACACCCTCAAGACAAGACACCCACAAGACAAGACACTCACAAGACAAGACACCACAAGACACCCACAAGACAAGACACCACAAGACAAGACACCACAAGACAAGACACCACAAGACAAGACACTCACAAGACAAGACACCACAAGACACCCACAAGACAAGACACCCACAAGACAAGACACCCACAAGACAAGACACCCACAAGACAAGACACCACAAGACACCACAAGACACACCCACAAGACAAGACACCACAAGACAAGACACCACAAGACACCACAAGACAAGACACCACAAGACAAGACACCACAAGACACCCACAAGACAAGACACCCACAAGACAAGACACCACAAGACAAGACACCACAAGACAAGACACCCACATGACAAGACACCACAAGACACACCACACAAGACACCCACAAGACAAGACACCACAAGACAAGACACACAAGACAAGACACCACAAGACAAGACACCACAAGACAAGACACCACAAGACAAGACACCCACAAGACAAGACACCCACAAGACAAGACACTCACAACACACCACAAGACACCCACAAGACAACACAAGACAAGACACCACAAGACACCCACAAGACAACACAAGACAAGACAACACAAGACAAGACACCCACAAGACAAGACACCACAAGACAAGACACCACAAGACAAGACACCCACAAGACAAGACACCACAAGACACCACAAGACAAGACACCACAAGACAAGACACCACAAGACAAGACACCACAAGACAAGACACCCACAAGACAAGACACCACAAGACACCACAAGACAAGACACCCACAAGACAAGACACCCACAAGACACCACAAGACACCCACAAGACAACACAAGACAAGACAACACAAGACAAGACACCACAAGACACCCACAAGACAAAACACCACAAGACACCACAAGACAAGACACCCACAAGACAAGACACCACAAGACACCATAAGACAAGACACCACAAGACAAGACACCACAAGACACCACAAGACAAGACACCCACAAGACAAGACACCACAAGACAAGACACCACAAGACAAGACACCACAAGACACCACAAAACAAGACACCACAAGACAAGACACCACAAGACACCACAAGACAAGACACCACAAGACAAAACACCACAAGACACCACAAGACAAGACACCCACAAGACAAGACACCACAAGACACCACAAGACAAGACACCACAAGACAAGACACCACAAGACAAGACACCACAAGACAAGACACCCACAAGACAAGACACCACAAGACACCACAAGACAAGACACCACAAGACAAGACACCCACAAGACAAGACACCACAAGTCAAGACACCACAAGACAAGACACCACAAGACAAGACACTCACAAGACACCACAAGACAAGACACTCACAAGACACCACAAGACACCACAAGACAAGACACCACAAGACAAGACACCACAAGACAAGACCACAAGACAAGACACCACAAGACACCACAAGACACCACAAGACAAGACACCCACAAGACACCACAAGACACCACAAGACAAGACACCACAAGACAAGACACCACAAGACACCACAAGACAAGACACCACAAGACAAGACACCACAAGACACCACACCACAAGACACCACAAGACAAGACACCACAAGACAAGACACCACAAGACAAGACACCACAAGACACCACAAGACAAGACACCACAAGACAAGACACCACAAGACAAGACACACTCAAGACACCACAAGACAAGACACCCACAAGACACCACAAGACAAGACACCCACAAGACACCACAAGACAAGACACCCACAAGACACCACAAGACAAGACACCACAAGACAAGACACACACAAGACACCACAAGACACCACAAGACAAGACACCACAAGACAAGACACCCACAAGACAAGACACCACAAGACAAGACACCCACAAGACAAGACACCACAAGACAAGACACTCACAAGACACCACAAGACACCACAAGACAAGACACCACAAGACAAGACACCACAAGACAAGACACCACAAGACACCACAAGACAAGACACCCACAAGACACCAAAAGACAAGACACCCTAAATAGTGCCCAACCACTTATGAACGGTCGGGTATTGAACGGCGACCTGCATGAAGCGAGACCGTCGCTCTACCGTCCAGTCCAAGTGGTTGGTCTCATGCAGAATGAGAGAAGGAGGAAGGAGGCAGTGGTGGAGTCTGCAGCCTCCACCACTACTCTTCCTCCTCTCTCACTCCATACGAGGTCAAGGGAGGTCAAGGGTGGGACTTACCTGATCAAAGTGGGTGGAGGTGGAGGTCGGGTGTTGGACAACCAGTTGATATAGACGTGAACATGGTGTTCACTTCGGCAAGTTGCCGACGAGTTTGGTAATTTTGTCCACGGCGTTCATGACATTATCGCGAGGTCCGGTCACTTGCACGTCCTCGTCCGGCTAGTCTTCTCCGGGGACTGTTATTTTTACTTGCCAGGAGTCTTGTAATTACTTGAGACGCTTTTGCTGCCTGCCCACTAGAACATACCTATTGCTGAAAGGCACGGGTACCGCCATGGTCACAACGTCTTGGTTGGAGGTGATTGGGGTAGTCTCTGGGGAACTGGTACTTTTCGTAAGTCCTACAATCACATTGATCTTCTCCAGGGCTACTCTGATATTGGCGGGAGTGCCTGTGACCTCTACATAGTCGCCTGCCTCGCCCTTGTCCGGCACGCGTATCTTCACCCCACAACGACTTTAGAGCATTTTTAATGTTCTGTTCTGCCGCCCACAGATTATGCGTCTCTCGCACGAGATTGGTGCTCGCACAGTGGTAACTTCTTCCGTGGTGTCGACGGAGCTCACTTGACATTACGATCCGGTGGAGCCGCCATCACTGGTGGAGCCGCCGCCATCACTGGCGGAGCCGCCGCCATCACTGGTGGAGCCGCCGCCATCACTGGTGGAGCCGCCGCCATCACAGGTGGAGCCGCCGCCATCACTGGTGGAGCCGCCGCCATCACTGGTGGAGCCGCCGCCATCACTGGTGGAGCCGCCGCCATCACTGGTGGAGCCGCCGCCATCATTGGTGGAGCCGCCGCCATCATTGGTGGAGCCGCCGCCATCATTGGTGGAGCCGCCGCCATCATTGGTGGAGCCGCCGCCATCATTGGTGGAGCCGCCGCCATCATTGGTGGAGCCTCCGCCATCACTGGTGGAGCCGCCGCCATCACTGGTGGAGCCGCCGCCATCACTGGTGGAGCCGCCGTCATCACTGGTGGTCAAAGAGTCGGCCAGTCGGGTTCTTTTTGCGTGTTCGGTGTTGTCCTGGACAACTACGGTTGTATCAGTGGGACTGTGCTGGTAAGCTACGGTGTATTGTGATTAATTGCCGACGAGTTGGGTAATTTTGTCCACGGCGTTGATGACATTATCGCGAGGTCCGGTCACTTGCACGTCCTCGTCCGGCTAGTCTTCTCCGGGGACTGTTATTTTTACTTGCCAGGAGTCTTGTAATTACTTGAGACGCTTTTGCTGCCTGCCCACTAGTACAGGCCTATTGCTGAAAGGCACGGGTACGGCCATGGTCACAACGTCTTGGTTGGAGGCGATTGGGGTAGTCTCTGGGGAACTGGTACTTTTCGTAAGTCCTACAATCACGTTGATCTTCTCCAGGGCTACTCTGATATTGGCGGGAGTGCCTGTGACCTCTACATAGTCGCCTGCCTCGCCCTTGTCCGGCACGCGTATCTTCACCCCACAAAGTCTTTTGAGCATTTTTAATGTTCTGTTCTGCCGCCCACAGATTATGCGTCTCTCGCACGAGATTGGTGCTCGCACAGTGGTAACTTCTTCCGTGGTGTCGACGGAGCTCACTTGACATTACGATCCGGTGGAGCCGCCATCACTGGTGGAGCCGCCGCCATCACTGGTGGAGCCGCCGCCATCACTGGTGGAGCCGCCGCCATCACTGGTGGAGCCGCCGCCAGCCGCCGCCATCACTGGTGGAGCCGCCGCCATCACTGGTGGAGCCGCCGCCATCACTGGTGGAGCCGCCGCCATCACTGGTGGAGCCGCCGCCATCACTGGTGGAGCCGCCGCCATCACTGGTGGAGCCGCCGCCATCACTGGTGGAGCTGCCGCCATCACTGGTGGAGCCGCCGCCATCACTGGTGGAGCCGCCGCCATCACTGGTGGAGCCGCCATCATTATCAGTGATGGAGGAGCCATGATGAGGTTCATCCACACTGGCGGTAAAGCAGAGATGACCATCACTGGCGGTCAAAGAGTTGGGCAGTCGGGTTCTTTTTGCGAGTTCGGGGTTGGGCTGGACAACGATGGTTGTATCAGTGGGGTTGCCCTAGTCCACTACGGTTGTATCAGTGGGGTTGTCCTCGACAGCTACAGAGGTTACAGAGGAGTCTGGACATTGAAGATAGATGAATATCATCATACCAACAGTAAGAACTAGTAAGAGCGCCAGAGGCCACCAGCCTGTCATGGGAGCGCTGACAGGAATTTCTCCCACGAGTTCCAGGAAGGTCTTCAAGCCCTCCACCTTCGGGGACATCTGGTGTTATCTCATGACGGGGCCTACGAGAGGCGACCAGTTTAGCAATGTTCTCAGTTCTTCATTAGAAAATAAATTTAAGTCGCAGACTGGTTCAGGTGTGATCAAATGAACTCCTGCTACCAACCTCCTTACGATTGCAGAGACACTAGACTTTTCACTGCGCCAGGCCAGAGTCTACTCGCGCAGTAGACGGAGGTGGGTGGCCGTTTAGGCTTCCCAGCCTTACAGCCACAGGTGCAGTCCCACAAAAATTACCACCAACACAACACAGATAAATGACCTTGCAGTAGAATTCATTTTGAATGAGGTATTTATCTTTCGAAATCCGACTGTAATTCTCAGCAGCAGTTATGTGATTATGTTAATATTGGAAGTGGAACTAATGTAGGAAACTTGGTATTTTGTTGTAATTAGGCTTATTTGTCTGTGTATTAGGGGTTACTTGGTACAGAATAGTTAGGTTCACACCCCTAACTGTTGGGACTGTGTAATGTTCTCCGGCGGGTTATGGAACCTTCACTCTCAGTTACTCATGCGTCGAGAATTAGCAAGTGGTGAGCTCAAGAGGAGTTCTTTCCTCCTTGGAATGTTAGCAGAGAAATGCCTGCATAGTAGCAGCTGTTGAAGGTGGATTTCCAGTGAAGAAAATCCACAGGAAATCCACCTTGTGATACAATGTGATACAATGTGATACATCGCAGGAGTGGACGAGTGAATGAGGCAGCGAGAGATGTGTTACCGATCTGAAGAGTGTCGTGATCGTCAGGGTATCGTGAATAGGCTCAGCCAGACTCATCAACAAGGCTCCATTGTTTTGTTGTGATCTTCGAGGAGCTTGACCATTGAGTGGAGGTTGGAGTTGTTTTAGTGACCACTGAGTGGAGGTTGTTTTAGTGACCATTGAGTGGAGGTTGTTTTAGTGACCACTGAGTGGAGGTTGTTTTAGTGACCATTGAGTGGAGGTTGTTTTAGTGACCATTGAGTGGAGGTTGTTTTAGTGACCATTGAGTGGAGGTTGTTTTAGTGACCATTGAGTGGAGGTTGTTTTAGTGACCACTGAGTGGAGGTTGTTTTAGTGACCACTGAGTGGAGGTTGTTTTAGTGACCATTGAGTGGAGGTTGTTTTAGTGACCATTGAGTGGAGGTTGTTTTAGTGACCATTGAGTGGAGGTTGTTTTAGTGACCATTGAGCGGAGGTTGTTTTAGTGACCACTGAGTGGAGGTTGTTTTAGTGACCATGAGTGGAGGTTGTTTTAGTGACCACTGAGTGGAGGTTGTTTTAGTGACCACTGAGTGAAGCTTGTTTTAGTGACCACTGAGTGGAGGTTGTTTTAGTGACCACTGAGTGGAGGTTGTTTTTAGTTAAGATCGTGTGTAGTGAACATTGTACTCACCTAGTTGTGCTTGCGGGGGTTGAGCTCTGGCTCTTTGGTCCCGCCTCTCAACAGTCAATCAACTGGTGTACAGGTTCCTGAGCCTACTGGGCTCTATCATATCTACACTTGAAACTGTGTATGGAGTCAGCCTCCACCACATCACTTCCTAATGCATTCCACCTGTTAACTACTCTGACACTGAAAAGGTTTTTCTAACGTCTCTGTGGCTCATGTGGGTACTCAGCGTCCACCTGTGTTTACTAGTTGTGTTTTTACGGGGGTTGAGCTCTGCTCTTTCGGCCCGCCTCTCAACTGTCAATCAACTGTTTACTAACTACTATTTATTTATTTATTTATTTATTTTTCCCACACCACACACACACACACCCCCCAGGAAGCAGCCCGTGACAGCTGACTAACTCCCAGGTACCTATTTACTGCTAGGTAACAGGGGCATTCAGGGTGAGAGAACTTTGCCCATTTGTTTCTGCCTCGTGCGGGAATCGAACCCGCGCCTGTGTCCCCTTGTTCGTGTCCCACCCGTGCTGAAGAGTTTGTCTTTGTCCACCCTGTCAATTCCCCTGAGAATTTTGTAGGTGGTTATCATGTCTCCCCTTACTCTTCTGTTTTCCAGAGATGTGATGTTTAGCTCCTTTAGCCTTTCCTCGTAGCTCATACCTCTCAGTTCCGGGACGAGTCTGATGGCATACCTCTGAATCTTCTGTGTGTGTGTGTGTGTGTGTGTGTGTGTGTGTGTGTGTGTAGTGAAGATTGTATTTTTTTTTTGTAAAGATCGTATGAGGTGAAGATTGTTTTATAGTGAAGATTGTTTTTAAGTAAAAATTGTTTTTTAGTAAAGATTGTTTTAGTAAAGATTGTTTTTTAGTGAAGATCATGTGTAGTGAAGATTGTTTTTAGTGAAGATCATGTGTAGTGAAGATTGTTTTTAGTGAAGATCATGTGTAGTGAAGATTGTTTTTAGTGAAGATCGTGTGTAGTAAAGATTGTTTTAGTAAAGATTGTTTTTTAGTGAAGATTATGTGTAGTAAAGATTGTTTTATAGTGAAGATGTATTTTAGTAAAGATTGTTTTTAGTAAAGATTGTTTTTTTTGGAATGATTTTTTTTTAGTGATGATAATGCGTAGTGAAGATAGTGTGTAGTGAAGATTGTTTTTAGTAAACATATTCTCATTCTCTTTCTCTCTCTCTCTCTCTCTCTCTCTCTCTCTCTCTCTCTCTCTCTCTCTCTCTCTCTCTCTCTCTCTCTCTCTCTCTCTCTCTCTCTCACACATTTGTAAATCCAGGCCGATTTGTAAGCCTCATTCAGGATACATTCATGTATCAACACGTCAAGCAGGCCACAAGAATGAGGGATGTTCCAGTAGTGTAAAGTACGCCTACGACCGTCCGCAGCACCTGAGCAGGTGAGCTCATTAGGCTCCCCTGCTCAGGTGGGTCACAGGTACATAGACGCATGATGTTTTGGGGGGTTCCCCGGGCGTTTGGCGGCGTGTGGCATCTGGGTGCGTGGGGCCTTTGACCGAGGGTTGTGTTGGAGTGGGGGGGCGGGAGGCTATGTGGTTGTATGTGGTCATGTAGGGAGAGTAAAGGAAGAGGAGGAGAGGAGAAGAGGAGAGGAATAGTAGTAGTACTAGATGAATATGTATGAGTATGTGCCGTAGAGTTAATTCTGTGTGTAGATAGAAAAAATAGATAGATGGGAGTGTGTAGGTTATGTAGAGGAGGGAGGGAGGACTCCCCTACATGGCAAGGATATGATGAGGAGGGAGGGGGGGCCCCTACCCTGAGAGGGTAGGAGATCAGAGCTAAAGGAACAGGTGTATAACCAGCACTGGGAACAGTTTCTGCAAGGCATCAATCATGCGACATCCTCTTTCCAAATGTGGAATAAAATTAAAAAGATTTCTCGACCTAGCAGTCGTCAACTTGATCACATTCACCTGTAGACTATGCCGACATGCTGCTTCAGCAATATGCAAGCACTGCTAGTATAAGCAGCCTGCCCCTAGATGTGCAAAACTATCTGGCTAGTACCAAAATGAATCGTAACTTCAATATTGAAATTGCCTGTAGTGAAATAGGGCCTGATGATAACTATGGCATAACCCCCTTTGAAATTAAAAATGCACTCAAGAAAGGTAAGGCTACTCTCCTGGAGAGGATGCATCACATACAACACCTTGAGAGTACTTGCTGAGCTGCCAAATAACCCTTTCCTAGAATTGTTTAATCAAAGTCTAAGGCAGGGTGTTTTACCTGACCGCTGGACACAGGGACTCATAATACCCATACCCTAGCCTAATTCACAAAAATTTAGACCCATTTCTCTGACGTCGTGCATGTGTAAAGTTCTTGAGAGAATTATTCTCGACAGACTAATGTTTCAAATCAAGCCCCACCTTGCCCCTAACCTGTATGGTTTCCTTCCTGGAAGAAGCACACAAACTTGCTTTGCTGAGTATTTTATCAGAGAGGGACCAAACTCTCAGGCGGCATTTATTGATCTCCAAACTGCTTTTGATACAGTAAACAGAGAAATAATCCTAGAACAGCTAGCCTCTTTTGGAGTTAAGGGAAGACTGTTGACATGGCTCAGGGGTTATCTGAGTAACAGAACCGCTTCAGTCCTTTTCAAGGGGGCCAAAAGTAAACTCTGTGCACCTTTGATTTGGGTACACCCCAGGGTGGAGTGCTAAGTCCTACACTGTTCAATGTTCTGATGCATAAATTAACAATTGATATTCCCACACTACCTGACGAAGCCGTCATTTGTTATGCCGATGATATATGAATTGTTGCAAATTCCCAAACTAGACTGCAAGCTCAACTTGATTCATTCGCTGCTAAAAGCATTGAATGTGGTCTTGTTATCTCTATAACTAAATCCAGAGTTCTCCATCCCCAAGAGAAAACTCATGTCCCTATAACTTTCAAGGTCAACAACCAGAACATTGAAACGTGTAGGCAGCACAAATACCTTGGAGTTGGTATTAATAGTGACATTGTAAATGATCTACACCGTAGATTAAAAGAAAGACTAAAACCATTGAGAACACTTACTGGTAAGAATATTGGTATCAGTATTAAATATGCTAGACTATTCTATATGATGTTCGTTAGATCTCTCGTTGATTATAATGCTCTGCACTTAATTAATTTCCCCTCCTCTGTGTTGGACTGTTACGGACCCGAGCCCAACGTCCGAGCACGGAGCAATGACGACCATGCCATCTGTGGGTCAGCTCCCGAAACCCCCTCCAAATGGACGACGCCATCTAGTGAGGACGAGATATACTGGCCA